GTTTCTCCGGTCGGTTCACGCGGTTTTGGGGCCCCCAAGGGGCGCGAGGCCCCGGGGAAATATGGACCGAGGCCTTGTCGCCGGCTGGAGGATCCGAGCCCCGGCTTTGATCGCTGTGTGCTTGATCCCGGCGAGTCACCTCCCGACTCCATGCCTCAGTTTCCTCATCTTTAAACGGAAGGGTTGGACCAGTTCCTCTCCGGCCCCTTCCAACGCTGGCTGGAGGCCAGGCCCTTCAGGAGCTTTGGGCAGGGGTGAGGTGAAGGGGCACTCCCGCACTTGTGCACACCGGCTACAATAGAAGCCATGAGGGCCGAGTGACCAGTGAGCGTGGAAGGCTGTCGCGACAGAGATGGGGGTACCCCATGGGCTTCTCATTGAGGAGAGGTCAAAGCTGGGCCTTGACATTTTGGTGGAATTTCTACATGTGGCCAGATGCGGTTGCAGGGAACAGCAAGGCCACATCGAAGTGTATTGTAACTAGCACCAAATGCCCAGGCCGCATTTTATCCCACAATCAAAGAAGGGCTTTTGAGCAGGGAGTGACATGTTAAAGGTGATATGATGAACCGGGTGGTCAAGATGAAGAGTAGTTTGGGGCAGGGGAAACCACGCGGAGGCTGCTGCAGAGCAGATGAGGGAGGGAAGAGGGGGCAGTGAGGCAGGCAAGGAGGGGACAGGTAGGAGAGACCAGGTGCAGAATGAAGCCATAAGGCCTGACCCACAGGATTGAGAGAGAGAGAGAGAGAGAGAGAGAGACAGTGAACCCTCCAGGGTTTCTGCCTGGGAGAACAGAAGTGTCATGAACCCAGACAGGGAGGGCAGGTGCACAGTTCAGCTGTGATGCATGAGGGTGAGGTGCTTGTGGGACCGGGAAGACAGACCCCAGGAGGTTAGGGATTGAGGACCCGGGGCTGTCATGAGGCCGAGGGGTTGAGCATAGCCTCCTCTGTAATGTACAGGAGACCCAGAAGGCAGCCCCTTCTCTTGGCAGCGCTTTGTCGCTTGCTCTGCCCCCACCTCAAGGCAGGGCCCTCCTGCCCCCTCAGCTTACCATTTCAGAACCCCCAGTGCCTGGATCCTGGCCTTTTTCTGAACCGATTCCAAAAGGCATTTGGAGAAGAGTAGACAGTGGCCCTGTCCCAGCCAGACCTCACTTCCAGCTGGGCCCTGCCAGGCTCCACAGCAATGCAGAGTCACACCAGTCACCCTCTGGGCTGTGCTCGAGGCCCCCTGGGTGGTAGGGGGCTAGTCATCTCTTATTCAGTGTTGAAGTGTTCGTTCAAATGCTCCAGAGGAGAGACCTGGGAGGGAGGTATCCAGTTCAATTCGTCAGCCTTGTATAAGGTACCTACAGGGTGTGAAGCACTGTCTGGACTCAAACTCAGAAGGTTTGAGAAGCTTAGAATCAGAGGTGAAGGGGACAGAGCATACACACTTGACAACCAGTGTCCTCCCTTCTCCAAAGGAAGTGCAGCTCTGGGTAGACCCCCCCCCCCCCCCAGTCTCTGGTTTGTCTGTGTCTATGTTTTGAGCTGGTCTCTTGAGCCCTGTGGCCTCCTTAACTGTAAAGGAGACTCAACATGAGAGCTCCCATCTCGGGATCTGAATGCAGCAGAACAAGTCGTCTGTCTGTCCATCTGTCGTACCCTCCAAGGCCTCAGTCAAGTGTTTAGGGAGTGGCTATAGGTCTGCCAGGGCTTCTGTCCCCACGGAGAGTCGAGATGGCCAGTTATTACTGGGGTAAACTGACTCAGCTCCTTCCCGGCCAGGTAGGAGGCCCTGGGATCCTTGGCCTCAGGAGGCCTTGCCCTTGGAGGCTGCCTGAGAGGCAGGAAAGAGACTCCCACGTGGGGACCCAGCCTTTGGCCCCATCCCCTGCCAGGTCACCTGATGTGGGGCCTCTCAGGAACCTCCCTACCTCAAATGGGCCCCAGAATTGGGCCCTAAACAGTGTTCTGAGGCCAGACTTTGAGAAGGACGCCCTCAGAGAGAAAATGTGAGAGCGCCTGTGTACATCCTGATGGGAATTACCGATTTGCAATCACACTCTGACCTGCAGTTTCTGGCAGGACAGACAGACTACAATGTGACCACAGCGAGTGCTAAGCAGCCGCTCTAACCAGGGCCTGGCCCTGCTGCGGCCGCCTTTCATGTGTTCGTTTAATGAACTCTCGTAACCGGCCTATGAGGGGGATAAACTCCCTGTCCCGGGATCAGGAAACTGAGCTATGGAGAGATGGAATCGCTTGCCCGAGTTCAACTCAGCTGGTCGGTGGCAGAGTTTATATTGAGCCAAAGTAATCTGGCTTGAGACTCCAGGCTCTTAACTATCACTATGGGATGAGGCTAGGGACCTCTCAAGTCATTTTTCAGGGCATTTAAAGCTGTTAGAAACATAGAAATCACCCATCCTAATCCCCACAATTTATAGTCTTGGTCCCATGAGAAGTTTCTTTTTGTGACTAGCTGGCTGGCATCAGAGTGGGGACCAGAAGCTAGGTCTCAGCATTTTAGTCCAGTCCTTCTACAGTGGCAGTACCCCAAAGTTCCGCTTCCTTGGGGATCGCCTCTCGCATCTCCCCAGGGAGAGCAGCCAAGCCTGGCCCACGGAAGTTGTAGTCCTGCAAGCGACAGCTCCCCTCCCTGCTGCCAGAGTGCCCTCCGTCTGGGACTGGGCAGCAAAGCTCTGTCCCAGCCCAGGGGATCCTGCCGTCATCCTACTTCATTTCCCCCTGGAGACAGGGGGCCACTCACGGTTCTCATTTAGTGTCTCCAGTAGCCTCTTTCAGTTCCTTGACCTGTAAAATGTCCAGGGAAGACGAAACTTGCGGCGGAGGAAGTGGGTGAACACCTGCCGCGTGTTGTGCTGGGACCACAGGGCGTCTGTCCCCCGGAGGAGGCCACTCTGCCTGCTCAGCAGGTCTGGGTAGGCTGCAGGAGACAGGCCTGCCCTTGCTGCGATGGGGGCAGGGGTCACATACCCACAGCAGAAAGCCACCCATCGGCAAAGGGCCCTTCCAGTCAAGCGGTTGCTTCTGCTTTCTGTGGCTGCTTTCTGCCGCCCCGCTCACCGGGGCCTTCTGCTGATGCATCTCCTGCACAGCAGACAGTCCCCACCCCCCAGCACTGCTTAGGGCTGTGCCTGAACTAGTGCCTGTCTGTGGGGTCCTGCCCATTTCGGAGCCCCGTTCTCCTGAATCCAGCTGGGGTTCTGCATGTCAAGAGCCAGGGTCAAGCAGACGCTCACTAAGTAAGGCTCAGGTGCCCTCCTAAATGCTGCAGGCTGTGAAGCCCACCCAGCCAGAGAGGGGCCAGGGGGTGACTTCCCCTCCCAACAGTCAGGCCCCTGGTGTGGGGACCCTGCCACAAAAGTGGCAGGAGGCCTGGGACCCCTGGGTCTCTAATAGGGAAGGACTCTCTCTGTCCTTCCTGTGCCAGCTCTAACTTCTGCCTTGGTGGCTGACCCCACCCTTAAATCTGAGGAGCTGGCCTGGGATAATTGCTTCAAAGGGTTCCTGCACCAGCCACAGAACGCCTTAAACCAGGAGGGCAGTATGTAGAGTGAAAAGAGTGCAAGGCATGGGAGTTTATGGGATTAGATGAGTCACTGGGCCTCTCCAAGCCTCAGGTTCATCTGTAAAATGGGCTTGACTTCCCTCCCTTCTTCCCAGATGCAGGGTAGGCTCTACTGAGGAAGATTGGGTAATACTTAGATGAGAGGTCGCGTGATCGTTTATCACCAGCTGCTGTGACACCAAAGAGTGGAGCAGCCCTACGTCCTTGCTGGAGATCCCAGGCAGGAGAAAGGCACTGACTCACTGGGCTTAACAAGCTGGGGGCACCAAAGGAAGTGACAGAGATTCTGCGGGGGACTGGACACCCGACCATCAGTCTGAGCTAGCCACATTGGCCACTTCCTCCATCTGTCGGCACCCGCTGCCCTCACGTGGCCACGCACACCTCTCAGAATGCTGAGCTCTGAGTTTGGCCAGGCTGGAGTGACTCACCCCCAGCCAGGGGACCCCACCCCTGGCCTGCCAAGGCCCCTCCTAAAAGAAGCCGGTCTCCTGGCTCAGTCAGTAGAGTGTGCGACTCTTGATCTCAGGATTGTGAGTTCGAGCCCCATGTTGGGTGCAGAGATTACTTTAAAAAAATTTTTTTTAATTTAAAGAAAAAATTATAAAAGAAGCCGGTCTCTGCCAGCAGAAGGCAGCTCCTCATGTAGCGTCAGCCTGACTCTCGGGGGTCCCCACAGGCTTCCCCTCCTGCCCACGCGACCATGGCCTTCTATCTAGAGAGAAGGGAGGGCCCATCTGCAGAGCTGGCCTCTCTCCACCTCAGCCAGGGGAGTGGGAAAAATCTGGAATAAGAAGGTGATGGGAGAAATTCATGGAACTGGAAGTGGAGACCCCTGGGGACTAGCCTTTCTCGGCACCAGATGAGCCCTCTGTCCCTCAAGCGCTCTCTGATCCCTGGGGTTTTTTGTCTGTCAAATAAGGAGCTTTCTGAGATGATGGTTGAGTTCCTTTTCTGTCAGCACTTTGTGGCTCTGTGGCCCTCTGGCCACCTCTGCTTCAGCTGGCCAGTGGGTCCCAGAGAATGGATGTGCGCTCTCGGGCTGGAGCAGAGCAGGCCGTATTGACCCAACACAAGGGGACAGACTCCTGCTTAATAGAGGCGAAAGAGGGAGAAGGGGCAGAAAAGGACTTTCACTCACTCCCTGCCATGTGCCAGCTCTTGTTTTTTGTTTTGTTTTGTTTTTTTAAGATTTTATTTATTTATTTGACAGACATACAGTGAGAGAAGGAACACAAGCAGGGGCAGTGGGAGAGGGAGAAGCAGGCTTCCCACAGAGCAGGGAGCCCGATGCAGGGCTCGATCCCAGGACCCTGGAATCATGACCTGAGCTGAAGGCAGACACTTAAGGTCTGAGCCACCCAGGCCGCCCCATGTGCCAGCTCTTATATATCTTATTTATACTTTTGACAGTTCATCGGTGCTGGCCTTATTATCCCCATTTTATAGATGAGAAGACTATTAACTTGTCCAGCCTGTGAGACTCAAAAGTCATGAGCTTTCCATATATTCTGCTGCCTTTTCTGAATGCAAATTGAAGCAGATGGATTTGGCCCTAGACCCGCCTGTTGTTAACTGTGTGGGTCTGCACCCAGCGCTCTTCACCCCTCCGCCCCAAACCATGAAGTCCCCATCTGTAAAATGAAGAACATGAAGCGTCCAGCACAGGCCTGGCACGAAGTCAGTACCCGGCGAATTGTACATTTATAAAAACATGCAGTGAAGTGTTTTGCAAACAGCTGTCCCACCTTAGGGGCCCTTGCTGTCACCCCCCGATCAACAGAGCCTGGATCTTGGCTCTCGTTCTGTGCTATCTGGGGTCCATCTGTGCCTATGCAATGAGCTGAAGCCTGTCTCACGACCAGGAGGTGAAGCCTGACCCTAGCCCCAAATCTCTGCAGGCCTGAACTCCTCTCTCTCTGAAGAAAGGCTGGGCAGGGCCGCCTGTCCTTGCGACACCCAATCCCTTGGACTGCAAGCCCGCCCCAGGCATCCAGATACAAAAAGACTCCATTTCCCAGGCTGGGAACACTGCCAGCCCCAGCTTGTTGAGGCAGATCCACCCCTTGGGGAAAGCAAAGAAGGCCCCAGGGGCGGGAGAGGGAGCTCAGCATCGGCCTTACAGCCAGCTCTTTGCACTTGGTGCCCACTCCTGGGGGACAAGCCCAGCGGGTCCCACCAGCAGGCGGCACCTCCCCCGGTGGGAAATTAGGAGGCAAGCATACGCTACCTCTGGACTGTAGTACCTGCCCGTTCGCCAGGTGGAGCCTGAAAATGCCATTATTCAACAACAACAACAAAATGGAGCTCCTGTATGCCAGGAGCTGGGGATCCAGAGATAGAGAAGTTGCTGCGTGCTGAGCTTCCACCCTCTCAAGTGGTAGTGACTCGAACACACAGAGGGATCGATGTGTGAGTGGTCGTTACGGTAAGCTGCGTAGGCAGTAGCCCAGGGGGGAGGCGGCTCTACCAGTAAATCAGGGGTTCTTCTGGAGCCTGCCATGCACTCTGGGTACACCAGCGTGATGAGGAAGGGGCTTCCACACGTGCCCTCCTCGCCTTAAACTTGTAGTTGACCTTCATGGGCTTGGCAGAACCTCCCTTCTTCCTCCTGGAGGAGCCCTGGCTCCAGCTGCAGGAATTTCCATCTCTGACGTGCTTTGGGGCAGCTGGCTCTGCACTTTGGTAAAGCAGGACCTCTTTACTCTTCCTCGTTTCTCCTCTGTTACACTCAGTTGCCTCACGCAGGCCCTCCCAGAGTGCTCTTTCTGCAAAAGCAAGCCTGAGTTGGAGAGCAGACCTGCCTTGGGGGGGGCCACACCATTGTCTGTGGCCCCCACCCGCATCCCATGTCCTGTCCTGCCTGGGGATCCAAGAGCCAGAATTTGCAGCAGATGGGGCAGAAATGAGACCCCACAGAGCAGATGGTTTCTTTAGTTATAGCTTTCTTTGCCCCATTGGTACTGGGACTGGTTACAGCCTAGTCCCCTGACCCAGATTTCTCTCCACGTTTCCAAAGGGTCCTGTGAGACCTTCTCGCCACCCTTCAGCTCTCCTTTGACCCCCACCATTCCCAAGAACCACAAGCCCTCCTAAATGCCCCTCCTGGCATCTCTGGGGTGGGTGGGGTCTCCCGCTGAGAGCTCACTCACTATGAGCTAAGTTTGCCCTAGCCCTGTTTTGTTCACTGGCCCTGGAGTGTGTTCAGATCAATGAGTAGATGTGGTCTCGCCCTCAGGGCCAATGGGGAATTCTACAGCCATTCAGCCCGCCCTTCCTGCTGCCAGCTTCCAGGCGTCCCCTGTCCCCTCCCCAAACTCAGGGCACAGGGAAGCCATGGCTGGCCCGGATCTTTGTCAAACCCAGCCCTAACCAGTGTCCCAGGCTTGCAGTCCTGTGGGGGGCACAGAAACAAAAGGCTTCCCCCTGCCTTTTGAAACCTCAGGCTGGTTGCCAAAATGAGCCAGCGGAATAGGGCTGGGGACTACCATGTGGCTGCTCTTGACAGACATTGTAAGGAAAGACATTTGAGAAAAAGAAGTCCTGAGTCTTGTAGTTTAGAGACAGCCGCCTAGGCGTGGGGCGCTGCAGAAAGAAAGGGTCCAGGGCCCACAGGACACTGCCCTGGGTCCGCATTGACTCGAGTCAGCTGTGTGATGTGACAGACTCCGTTAGAGCTGTGGCAGCGAATGACAGGATGTGTAACATGAAGGAGGGGCGGCTGTCTTGCCAGGCTTGGTCCTGGCCAGATGCCATGCACTTACCTCGGGGCCTGGGCCCACCTGAGTGCTTCCAGAAGTCAGCAGCCACGGGAGTTAAAGGTTAGGAAGGGCTGGGGCTGTTTAGCCACAAGATGAGAAGATTCAAAAGAAGGTAAGAAAGTCTCCAAATATCTAAAGGACATTTTTTTTTAAAAGGTTTTATTTACTTATTTGTCAGAGAGAGAGAGAGCACAAGCAGGGGGAGAAGGAGAAGCGCGGGGCCTGATCCCAGGACCCTGGGATCATGACCTGAGCCAAAGGCAGACGCTTAACTGACTGAGTCACCCAGGCGCCCCAAAGGACTTTTAAATGAAAGAGATTAGATGAGACCCCAGGGACCCAACGAAGCCCAGCAAGAGTGAAATTGGGGGGCAGGAGCTTTAGTGCAAGGGCGGCAGACGGTGCAGAATGATTGGTGGTAGCTGCCCACGGCGCTCTGCCGCAGAGGATTCTGGGCTTGCGTCTGGTTTTGCTAGGGAAGCGCGCCAGACTCAGTGATGCCATCTGGCAGGGTGCTGGCTGGGAAGCCGCTCCACTAGTGCCATGTACTTGCCACCTGCTTCCCAGTTAGTGCTAGAAAGACCCTCCAAACGCTGCAGGTTACAGGAAGGTGACCGGGTGTGTCAGGCAGTCATTTCCCAAGGGCCCGAATGCCCTTGCAGACCACAGGCTCCTGATATTTTTTGTGCCATCGGCCCATTTGACAGTCTGGTAAAGCCTAGAATATTGTTTTTAAATGTGCATTTAGGGGCACCTGGGTGGCTCAGATGGTTAAGCGTGTGCCTTCGGCTCAGGTCATGATCCCAGGGTCCTGGGATCGAGCCCCGCATCGGACTCCCTGCTCAGCGGGGAGTCTGCTTCTCCCTCTTTCTCTGCCTCCCCCATGCTTGTGCTCTCTCTGTCTCTCTGTCTCTCTGTCTCTCTCTCAAATGAATGGGTAAAATCTTTAAAAAAAAAAAAAAAGTGCAATTAAAGGTTTGGATTACAGAAAAAGTCACTTATGTTGAAGTAAAGTTATCAAAACGTTGAAAAAGCCAATTTGTGCTATAGTAATATGTGTGTGTATACACTTCTTGACACAGAATATTATAAGCAGTGCGTCTAATTACTGTGATTTTGTAGTAGCGATGATTGTAAATGCCACTTCCTGGTTCCTGCAAGGACTCTGACGTGCCGAGAAGAGCAGCCGTGACTTGTGTGTGTGACAAAGTCACAGGTACTGCGGGGCTACATTCACAATGTGAGGAAGTGCTACATTTCAGCTAAAGGTTTCTGCCCCGCCCCCCCGCCCCCAGCTTTTGCTGTCCATGATCCCAGATGAAGACTTCCTGCTGCGGGAACTGGCCTCTTGGAGAGGGAGTCTCATGCTGGGCCAGGTCCCCGAAGTCTGGCCTCGGTGTTGAGAGGAGCGAGCTTGTCCACAGATACGGGGGCCAGGGTTGCAGAGCTGGCACGCTGCCAAGGGTTTGACCTTCTCTGTCTCTCCGCTGCAGGTGGGCAGACAACTTCGTGGCCCAGGGCTGCGGAGGGAGCAAGGAGCACAGCTTCCAGCATCCCTTTCTCCAGGTATCTACCCCATCCCTCCCCACCTCCTATCGCCCGGGCCTCAGGTCAGGTGTGCCCCGTGAGGCCCTACTGCTTCCTGACCTGGGGTGGAGCCTGCCTGTACTCCCAGAAGAGCCATCACTCCCTCCCTCCCTCGCCAGAACAGAGGCCAGGGTGTGAGTGCCCACGGAAGGGGGCAGAGGGCACAGCCCTCTCTGGGAGGGCTGCATGAGTCCCGGGAAGCAGTCTTGCCCTGGACGCTGCAAGGCCAGCCCTCGCATGTCCACGTCAGGACCCATTTGGAACACATCAACCCCAGTAGCAAAACCGGCTCATCATTCATGGGAAGCCCAGACTCCCCTGGGATGGGGCAGACAACATAAATGGAAGGCACCATACGGCCAGACTGGGAAGCAGAGGCTCATATGTCAGCCCCTGCTCTCCCAGCAATTTGCTCTGTGACCCTAAGTAAGTTCCTGAGCCTCTCTGGGCCTCTGTTTCTCCATCTGGAGCTTGACCAGAGGTTGGCCTAGATCAGTGGTTTTCAGACCAGGCCCTGTGCAGCCTTAGGGTTTCCATCGAGATGTTTCCAGGGGTTAGGGCTTAGGCCTAGGAGGTAGTCTCTGGTCTTCCACACACAGCAGCTCTGCTTTTGTCTGATTTATGTGTCAAGTCATAGGTAAGCTTTCATGTGAAGACGGGCTGTGTTAAAATTTTGTCAAAGGTGATTCTCCTTCCAGCTGTGAACTTGTAGGGTTCCATCCCTGCAGGCAGTGGGCATGTTCCTGGGGGAGTTGTCCTGCCTGGCGGCCTTCTTCCTGCTCCGCTGCAGAGCTGCGAGGCACCCAGAGGCCAGCATGGATCCTCAGCAGCCCTTCAACCCCCTTCTTTTCCTGCCCCCTGCCCTGTGCGACATGACGGGGACCAGCATCATGTATGTGGGTGAGTAGCCAGGCCAGGCTGCGAAGGGCCCGAGGGGGCACTGGTGAAACAGCCACCCCTACCCCAGCTCACCTCACCCCTGCCTCCTCCCATACTTACACACGCGTGTGCATGCGTTGCGAGCAAGATTTACTGAGCACATACTATGTGCAAGGTGTGTCTTCAGCCCTGAGGGCACCTCAGCGACTAGATAGCCTTGGCCCTCAGGAGCTAACATCGTGTGTCTCTCTTCTCCCAGCCCTGAACATGACGAGTGCCTCCAGCTTCCAGATGCTCCGGGGCGCAGTGATCATATTCACAGGCCTATTCTCAGTGGCCTTCCTGGGGCGGAGGCTGGCGCTGAGCCAGTGGCTGGGCATCCTTGCCACCATCGTGGGGCTGGTGGTTGTGGGCCTGGCCGACCTCCTGAGCAAGCACGATGATCAGCACAAGCTCAGCGAAGTGATCACAGGTGCGGTGAGGGTCGGGGAACCAGGGGCTGCCCATCTTGTCCTGTCCTCCCTGGGAGCCCAGCACAGTCAGTCAACAGACTTTTGCAAGCTCTTCTCTGTGCCCAGCCCTGGGTGTGGGTGCATGGGGGACGTGGGCCTGCATCTGCTCTCGAGGTGACAGATAGAATGCAGAAAAGCACAAGCAGCATGAGAGGGGGTAGATAAGGAGCGGGAGGTCAGAGGAGGGAGAAGGTTCGTGCTGTGACACACACACACATACAAATTGCTGGATCTGGGATGGGGAGGGACCGAGTGTCTATTGAGTGTTTACCAAGTACCCAGCCCGGCAGCCTCTTCAACAATGACGGGACCCCTCTGGCCCTCAGAGGATGGACTAAACCAGAAACGTCTATCACCAAGCCTTGTGCATCTCAGAAGACCTGCTTATTACCTTACTATGCCCCTCACAGGCCCAGGCGGGCCTCTGGATCTTCTGGAGCCTTGGCCCAGAGTGGTAACAGTGCCTGCCCTGCTGGCCTGCCCCCCCCCTCAGGGGCCAGGAGACCCGGCATGGGGCTGTCATGACTGCCTCACGAACTACATGCTACCCTGCCAAATCGGGGGTTATCGTGTCCCTGTGGGAGCCGTCCACCCCAGCACTGGGCCCACCACCCTGCCGAGGGCCCCATGGCCGTGCTCCGTCCTCGCCCCCCACCCCCACCCCATGCAGCCCAGCCTTACCCTGGCTCGCTTCCCCACAGGGGACCTGTTGATCATCATGGCCCAGATCATCGTCTCCATCCAGATGGTGCTCGAGGAGAAGTTCGTCTACAGGCATAATGTGCACCCGCTGCGGGCGGTTGGCACTGAGGGTGTGTGAGCACAGGGGCTGAGAGGGGTTGCTGCTGTGGGGACACCCTGGACGGTGGCATGTGGAGGGGATGCACAAGCAGGAGTGCAGGGCAAGGTGCCGGGGTCCACGGGGAGGGGATGAGCCCCCACCCCCAATCCTCCCTCCCTTCCCGACGTGTGTGCTGACAGAGACTGACGCCAGAGCTGGGGGCGGGGATGAGGTCGAGGATGAAGGGGATGCACGCCCCACTCTAGAGGAGTTGGCCAACAGGGAAGGACCAGACAGTGCTTTTGAGCTCAGACCACTTGCGCTCAAGTGCTGTTTCACTTGACAAGCACATCTGAGTGTCTTCAGGATGGAGAAGGTGGTGGTCGAGCTACAAGAGTGGGAAGGAGGGAAAGTTCCAGACAGAGCAAAGACGTGGGGAGCTGGCCACGAGTGTCGAAACAAGTAAGGTGTGGTTGGTGAGATACAGGTTTGATGTTGGGACCCTGATCGGGAATTGAATAGGTCAGGGTCTTATTATGGAGAACCTTGAATGTCAGGCAAGTGGATTTAATCCAGACTTTAAGTGACAGACAGGGTGGAACCACCAAAAGTTTTTGAGCAGGGAAGTAACTACCAAAACGTTTAAGCTTTAAAAATACGAGGCCAGCAGGGCAGATGAGCTCAGCACAGGCCACGTGTGGCCTGTGGACCCGGCAGGGAGCTGTGCGTGCACCACGGGCTCCTGGCACAACGTTAATCATCTCGATCCACCACGTCATCAAGCACATTGTTGTATCCACTCGGTTTTTCCCCAGTGAGGCTTTCTGAATGGAGCAGTGCGTTGATTCACATTCTGGTCCACTCCTGGTCACAGACCAGTGACCCTGAATTAGAGAACTCTTGTTTTTCCACGCTTGTGAGAGCAATGTCCTGGTCGCAGCTGCCATTCTTTTGTGAATGCACACAACAGAATTTAAGAATGCCAGAGAACATTGGCAGGGTAGCTATTAATTTGTGAAAGTGCGCGCGTGGGTACGCGCCTGTGCATACTTATACCGGTCACGATATAAAATGTATTTATTATTCTTGGTCCAGTCAGAAAACGTGATTAAAGTGGAGAAGGGCAGCTAGAGCCCCCTCAGTAGGCCGCTCTGCACTCTGGATGAACAGGAAGGAGCTGGTGTGAGGCCGCCAGGAGGGGTGGCCGGGAGGGAGGGAGACCAGCGCAGCCCCTGCTGGGTGGGCTGAGCTAGGGATGGGGAGGGGTGGGGCGGGAGCTGAGCAGAGAGTGCAGCGTGCTTCCTCCACCCCCACAGGCCTCTTTGGCTTCGTGATCCTGTCCCTGCTGCTGGTGCCCATGTACTACATCCCCGCCGGCTCCTTCAGTGGAAACCCCCGAGGGACGCTGGAGGACACGCTGGACGCCTTCTGCCAGGTGGCCCGACAGCCGCTCATCGCCCTGGCGCTGCTGGGCAACATCAGCAGCATCGCCTTCTTCAACTTTGCGGGCATCAGCGTCACCAAGGAACTGAGCGCCACCACCCGCATGGTGCTGGACAGCCTGCGCACCATTGTCATCTGGGCACTGAGCCTGGCGCTGGGCTGGGAGGCCTTCCACCCTCTGCAGATCCTGGGCTTCTTCATCCTCCTGATGGGCACCGCCCTCTACAATGGGCTGCACCGCCCGCTGCTGACCCGCCTGGCCAGGGGCCGGCCCTCAGCAGACGAGGGCGAGCATGAGAGACTGCTCGCTGGTCCTCGGACTCCCATCAATGATGCCAGCTGAGCCTCTGGTGGGTTCTCTGCTGCTACCTGGATGCACCTTGTCCACCCTGAGGCCGAGGGCACACAGTGGACAGTGTGCTGTCCCCAAGGCCTCACCCTGCCCCTCCTCTCAGACCCCCGACCCCCCCCCCAGAGCAGCTGCTGCCACAGGAGATGACCAGACACCCGGGTGCTCCTTTGTCACCACCCCCTACAGCCCCCACAGGCCTGAGTGCAGTGACCTACCCCCTGCCAGGTTCCCACCCCACACCCCCCAAGCCCCTCCTGCAGCGCTAGCACTAAATCATGAAGTGGTACTGCAGGAACTAACAACCCTAAGATGTCCTCCTAAATCATAAGCTAAATTTGGTTCTCCAGAGAAGAGGGGCCAGTGAACAAATTCAAACCAGAACTAAGCGGCGTATTTTCTAGAACTTGTAGGCTCTTCGCTAACCCTGTCTTGGAGACCTAAGTTTTAGCTGGACTCTGCCACAAACTCAGCATATGTCCCCCAGCCCATTACCTACCGGCCCTGGGCCTTGGGGTCCCGTCTGTAAAGCAGAAGGTGCAGATGCTGTGGCTTCCGTACCTTCCAGCCTCAGCCGGGCCCATCCTGTGGGAAGGGAGGAGCCCATTCTTTGGAAATGCCCCTTTGCCCACAGTGCCTCCTCCGCATGCCAGTGTTGGTCCTTGCTCCCACGCTCTCAAGGCCTCCCTGCCTGGGGGAGATGTCAGGGGGAATTCCAAGCAGCCCTTAATAGCAGCTTTTATGAACTCTTCACCTTCCATTTTAAAGATGAAAAGACTGAGGCCCAGAGACGTAAGTGGCTTTGTAAGAAGGCTCTCCTGCTGTGGACTCTGGCCATGCACTTGGGATCCAGAGCACATCGGGACCTCAGCCCCACCCCCAGCAACCTGACTCCCTAAATATCCCTCCAGGGTGATGAATTTACCAGCACTGCACCATTTAGAGTAATTCTGGTATCCTAGGCATGTGTTAAATGCTCAGCGATAGTCCTCTGGCGTAACAACCTGCTCAAGTGCGTGCAGATGAGGAAGCCGTGGCCCAGAGGTGGTTAACTGGCTTCCTCAACGGAGCCAGCAGTCCAAGCTAGGTTTGCCTGATTCCAAACCTACAGCTCCACCCACCGTACAGGTCTCTGGGGTCTTTGGGGTAAATTTCCCATGGCCAGAATAAAAGCTTCACGTGCTTTTGTCCTCCCCACCCTGAAGAGAGGGGACTGGCATTGGGGACCCCAAGGAGCGGAGCAGCCCTTCCTTATGGAGTTCCTCATTCCGTGGCAGTTTCTGGAACCTCAGACCATTTTTCTGGGCAGCTCAATCAAAACAAAACACCGAATGCCTTCCTTAAAATAGGTTCTGGGGGAAGGGATCTTTGACAAGCAAAGCCCTCAGGCTGTGTGGAAATCAGCAGGTTATTACAGTTTATTGGGAGAGGAGGGCCTCTCCATGCCACCAGCTCCGAGTCCCAGGGGCCCCGGAGCTTCTGTGGGTCACAGTGTGTGCCACAAAAGAAGGAAATGGAGGGCGAGTGTGGTGGGGACTCCAGCCGCCCTGTCCAAAAGAACTGGGGCCTTACAATGTCGTTTTAGGCTCTATTTTTAAAAACAAAAGGGAAATTGGCAGTGTGGCTTTTTTTTTTTTTTTTTTTTTAAATGGGAGGGAAGGAGCACAAGGGTTAAACATCAGGCCTGCCACCAAATCGGGCAAATCACTTTACGTCTGGAGCTTTGGGTCTTCACATCTCTAAAACAGGAAAGCCGGCCCTCCATCTTGCCGGATGAACACGAAAATCACATGAGATAATAAACCGAAGGTGCCTGTAAATGCCAGCGCACGGTGGACTGTCGTGTCAGGCCGCACTGCCCACCAGCGTGGTCTGCCGGGGGCACGAAGTCCCAGCAGAGGCCCAGCGCGGAGCATCAGCTTTTGCTCAGAGGGGAAGAAATGTTTTAAAATACACCATCATGGAAAAAAGTACACCATCATTGAGGAGAATACAAAATTCCCATCTATCTTAAGACAAAACAAGATGCCTCAAGAACACTTTATGCCTTCGGTAGATACCCTCCCAGCCCCCGGAGATGCGTTCACTCTCCTGTCGCTCAGGGGTGCTCTGGAGGGTGAGTTCGAGAAGTCTTGCTGGTCGTGTGGGCGGGAGGGTAAGGACCACCACTCTCTCTCGCTGAGTGGAGTAAGGGGGTTCGGAATGGTGGAAGTTTGGTGTGGAGGTTCCGAACACCAAAATCAGAACTGGCTGATGGGCTTCTGTAAACATCAGTTCGAAGACTGTAATTTAAACCATGTGCATCGTAGCAGACTGCTCAATCCCTGCCCCTTGCAAAGTGGTCTTGGAGGGAAGCCTAGGGCAGGGGCTACCTGCAGGACCGCCATGCAGCACCTGGGGTGGCCCTCGGGCTCCGCCACCAGGAATCTGCCCGCAAGGCAGAGATTTAGCACCATACCAAGTGGTTCCATTTGGCTTCACTTTGTCCAAAGGTCTCTGCTAGTTTAAGAAACAGCACTCAAAGAGGTCAGATCTCTGACCCCTGCTGAGGACAGTAGGAGGAGTGGAGCAAAGGGCCTCCTGGTGTAGAGGAAAGAAGTAGAACCAGAAGTCAGCTGTGTTCGCAGCCCCGCTTCGACTTTGGGTGACCTTGGACAAGTCACGTTACCTCTCAAGACCTTAGCTACCTGAGAGGTTCTCAGCGTTACTAAATATGTATACCTTCCTGACCCGCTTACAGATTAACCTCATGCTTTCATGTTTGCCTTGGTTAAAAGCCCCTTTGGCCTTTTGTTGACTACATCCTTTCTAAACCTAAGGTCAGCAGAGAATTTCCCCTAGCTATAAAAGTTTATAAATCACCCATCTTCATTAGGAACACTTGTCAAAAAATCTTCAGTAAAGGATTACTATCTCAGAATTTAGCCAACTGTATTGGGAATGGATGTGCTCCAAGGGCTGTGGATCTGTCAAAGAAAAACAGGAGACAAATGTGTAAAGAAAGAATGCCAGCACAGTGTGATGTGCACAAGAGGCCTTTGTATGAGATACAAAGGAAGCTGTACAGGAGCGATCAGCTAACTCAGCCTAGAACCAGAGAGCTCCACTTGAGCTGGGTGTTAAAGACTGGGCAAGAGTCCCCGGGGAGACTTCCTCCAGGAGGAAGGAGCAGCTTGTAAAAAAAGCACGGAAACATGTAAGTGATGTATTCAAGAACTGCAGGGAAGTAGACAGGTATGCCAATAAGCATGCAATGCTAAAAGTGGCCAGAGACAAGGTCAGAGAGGTGGACAGGCGCCCAGGTGGTGCTGTACCTTTTAGATTTTGCTGAGGCATGAGAACTCTGTCTGTAGACAGTAGAGTACCCTGGGGGAGTTTTAAGCAAGGGAGTGATGTGATCCAAATTGCTGTTTGGAAAGATCACTAAAGGCAGAGACCAGTGAAACAACGTTTAATTAATTAGAGTCTGAACTAGAGAAATGGTGAATGAATGCAAGAGCCATTCAAGGAGTGGACTTAATTTTAGAGCCCTTGGCTGTCAGATCTTCTATTGCATAAGCCATCACCAAAGAGTGGGTCTTCTGGACCAGACTGCTCACCCCACCTTCCATCACAGTGGACCCACGGAGTGTCCCCAACTACAGCTGCTTCCCTTTTCTTTCCTGCCTTCCTTTGCCCTTTTTTCCCTCATTTTAAAACTCGTAAAATACACACAACAAAACATCATTTTGACCATTATGAAGTGTTCAGTGGCATTAAATTCTCCTTGTTGTGCAGCGGTCCCCACCATCCAACCCTAGAACTTTTTTATCTTCCCAAACTGCAACTCTGTACCCATTCAACACTACTCCCCATTCCTCCTTTCCCGTGAGCCCCTGACAACCACTATCCTACTTTCTATGAATTTGACTACTCTAGGTACCTAATGTAAGTGGAATCATGCAATAGTTCTCCTTTTGTGTCTCTTGTGTTTTGCTTACCACAATGCCTTCAAGGTTTATTCATGTTGTAACATATGTCAGAATTTACTTTCTTTTTAAGGCTGAATACTATCTCATTGTATGTATGCACTACATTTTGTTTATTCATCCATTTGGACATATTGGGCTATTGTGAATAACATTGCTGTGAGCAAATACCCGTTCAAGTCCCTGCTTTTAATTCTTTTGAGTGTATACCCAGAAGTGGAATTGCTGGATCATATGGTAATTCTACATTTAATTTTTTTGGCTGATCAACATACTATTTTCCACTCTGGCTGCACCAGTGAACAAGGGTTCCATGAAATCACTGATTTCATAATGACATTTTCCCTGATTACAATACATGTTAACTGGAGAACATTTAGAAAATGCAAGAAAACAAAGTGTAGAAAATAAAATCTCCTTTATTCTAACTATCCAGATGTACATTTGGCCGGAAGGCGTTATTATCTCCAACATGAAGGGAAGGGGTCGTTTCCCTAGGAGGATTCTATTGCAGTGCTGGAGAGTGTGATCCAAGACATGGTCATATCCTGGCTGTCCCACGACCCCAGTCATCAATAACGTTCATGCAGGTAAACTGGCTTCTGAGCCATATTCGTGGGGTGTTCCTGGGAGGGTCACAGGGGCGACAAGGGGTTGTCCCATTCTCTGTGGGTCTGTCTCCTCATCTTTAAAAACCACTTTCGGGTTAATAGGCCAAAACACAAAATGTTTGAATAAAGTGATTTCTCTTGAGAAACGCGTTCTGCAAACGCACTAACTACATCTTCAGGGTAGAGCTTTCTATTGCCAGCCACAGGGCGCCCGAGGACGAGGGTCCGATCTCTTAGAACTGAGCACCCGCCCCAGCAAGCAGAGGGCAGCAGTTCCCGCCTCCTTTAACTTCTCCAGGTTCCCATTGGCTGATTCCTACCGTCGATCCGTCACGTCCCCGCTCTCTCCTCCTATCGCCGCGCGCCGCTAGCCTTCCGGCCTGTGCTCTCATTGGCCCTCCCCGCAGTCGCTCTGCGCCAGGGGCGTTCCAGAGGCAGCCACTGGGAGTTGCTGAATTCGTTTAAAAAACGCCGCCAGTGAAGTGGCAGCGCGGGCCCTGGAACCGCGGCGGCGCGGGGGGTGGCCGGAGCACTCACCTGGTCGGGGCACGCGGCCGGGACGTTCCCGGGCTTCTCCCCGGACGCCAGCCTCTGTCCCCGGACCCCGAAGGCCGAGAAGAAGCCGCGGGGCCGCCACCCTCCGCGCCCGGCATGGGCCCGCGCCGCCGGACCCGCAAGCCCGAAGTCCCGAGGAGGCGCACCGTGAGCCCGGCCCCCGGCCCCCCCCGGCGGGGCCCCTTAGGTAACCGGCCGCGGCCCCTTGCCCTCGAGCCGGCCGCTTTGCAGCCTGGCTGTGATCCGCTTGCCCATTTCACAGACCAGAAAACCGAGCTCGCTTGCGGAGCCCGGGTCCGAATCTCCCGACTTCCGGCTGGCGCTCCCCTACGGGCGGGCAAAGCCCTGCTGCGGGTGCACCTGCTCGGGCCCGGCCCAAGTTCCAGGGCCCGCAAGGGCCTGGGAAAAGCAGTTCAGAGGAGGAGAAAGGATGGCCCAGGCGGCCTGGCTCCTAATACTAATTCTTGCTACAGCTCGCATTTGAGTAATTGCCACTAACCAGGCATTGTGTTCAACTCCTTGCGTGAATTATCCCAACTTTACATTGTGCCCATTTTACAGATGAGGAAACTGATGCACAGACAGGCCCGGTAACTTGAACAAGGTCTCACAGCTTGCTCCAGCAGTCAGGATTTTTAAGTGTTTGTGCTTTTTCTAAATTGCAAAATTATCGGCTGCTTTTTGGGACAATTTCAAACAATTCTACTTCTGGAAGGTGCCCTTCCAGGTGTCCTTATGCGTGTGTGTGTTTCTTCAGTAGTGGCGTTGTTGGGCATTAAGTAGAGTGCTCTCACCTTGTTCCCTTCCTGAGGTTTTGGGCCGTGAAAGAAGACAGGTCTGTGGTCCTGTGGTCTGGTGGATGGGAGACCCACGGAGCAAGAACTGTACCTTGGGGCAGCAGCTGCTTTACTTGTCTCCTGCTCCGTAGTTAAGAGCAGGGTGAAGAAAGTGTATTATGGGTTATTTTCTTTCCTGAACTTTAAATTTTTTTTTTTTAAGATTTTATTTATTTATTTGACAGAGAGACACAGAGAGAACACGAGCAGGGGGAGCAGCAGAGGGAGAGGGAGAAGCAGACTCCCTGCTGAGCAGGGAGCCCGACCTGGGGCTCAATCCCAGGACCCCAGGATCATGACCTGAGCCGAAGGCAGATGCTCAACCAACTGAGCCACCCAGGCGCCCCTTTCCTGAACCTTAATAACCTTTGCATCCAGCCAACTTGCTGAATTCTCTTGTTAATTCTATTGTTCAGTTGCTTTGATTGAAATGATTGAGTAGGTTATTGTCTGCAAATAAGGACTTTTTTTCTTTTTTTTTTTTAAGATTTATTTATTTGACACAGAGAGAGAGCACAAGCAGGGGGAGCGGCAGAGGGAGAGGGAGCAGAGAGGGAGCAGACTCCCCACTGAGCAGGCTTCATCCGAGGATCCCTAGATCATGACCTGAGCCAAAGGCAGACAAGACACTTACCCGACTGAGCCATCAAGGCGCCCCTGCAAATAAGGACTTTTGAATCTTCTTTTTCACTTTTATATATTTTATTTCCTAGTGTATTTTATTAATGAAGTCCTGAGATTAGTATTGAAATAAGAGCAGTGTTTTGGCCATCCTTGTCCTGTTTCTTTTTTCTTTCTTTTCTTTTCTTTTTTTTTTTTTAAGTAGGCTCCACGCCCAGAGTGGAGCCCAGCCTGGGGCTTGAACTCACGACCCTGAGATCAAGACTTGAGCTGAAATCAAGAGTCCCACGCTTAACCGACTGAGCCACCCAGGTGCCCCCCCCCCCGCATTTCTATTTTTAACACAAATACTGTTAAGTATGTTGTTTGCTGTTGCTTTGCTTTTGCTTGTGCTCCTGGTTAAATTAAATGTTTTATCTCAAATGGACACTCAGCAGGTCCTGGCAGTCCTGCTTTTCCATTCTCCCCATTGACTATTCCATACCTTTTTCTTCAAATTCCTACAACTCCAGCCCCCCAACTCACTCTCAGCCGATGATGACCTTGTTGCATGTCTGCTTCACTGAGGAAACAAGCCTCCAGACTGCATTCCCCTTATCTTCTCACAACAGAGAACCCCGGTCTCCCCTTTGTATCAAAAGCCACTCCTGCTACATGGGCTCTTGGTCATATTTTTCTCTCACCTTTGCTGGGCTTTCTGTTAGCCTTTCCACCTGCACTTAGAATTAAATTCATACTCCTTACATTGGCATTCCACAAATGTGCTCTGCTCTTTCTGATCTAAAGAAAAAGAGCAGGGGTGTTCCCTGTCCCCACACCTCTGTCTCTCCTAGTCCCCATTTCTCTCTAGTGCCTTTCATAGCCACCTTTTTGTAAACGGCCAGACTTAAGATGACTTAAGACTTCGCACGTGTGTGTTTCCCCTCTTCCCAGGCACCCCGGAACCCATTCCAGTCTGCCTCCCCACAACTGCTTCCCCTCCTTCTGGTGCACGTGAGGTACTCTTGTCAAGGTCGCCAGCTACTTTAGTGTTGCTAAATCCAGTAGACACGTGTGTGTCCTTCTCTTGCTCTGAGAAGCATTTGACACAGGGGGCCGCTTTCTCCTAGAAACACTGTCCCCTTGGCACCCACTCTGCCGTTCCTGCCTAGCGTTCCTTACCGCCCGTGGCACCTCTCCATAACAACTTGATGCTGGACTCCTTGCTGTCCTTCCCCTTTCTTTCCTTCCCCAAGTGGTCCCATCCACTCCCAGGGCTCTGCATACCACTCCTACATCGACCACGTTCATGTTTATATCTCTAGCCCAGATCTCTCCTCTGACTCCAGATCCCCATACCCAGCTGCCTTTCCACATGCAGGCCCTGGGTTTGTCAGTGGAACATGTCTAAAACCAAACTCTTGATTACTCCCTTCCAGTCTTGTCAGCTGCAGTTTTCCCCATTTCAGGAAATGGCACAAGCATCCCCTAGTTGTGTAAGCCAGAAACCTGGGAGACCTTCTCTTATCCCCAAACACAAGTACCTTCGGGCCGTTCTACCTCCAAGTCACATCCTTCATCACACCACTTGTCAGCTCTACTCCCACCTGCTAGTCCCAGCCACCAGTGCCCTAACCTGGCTGCTCCTCTTCTTGCACTCTCGTCCCTCACCGCAGCTGGACTCATCGTTAAAACGTCAATAGAGGGGGGCCTGAGTGGCGCAGTCGGTTAAGCGACTGCCCTCGGCTCAGGTCGTGATCCTGGAGTCGCAGGATCGAGTCCCGCGTCGGGCTCCGTGCTCAGCAGGGAGCCTGCTTCTCCCTCTGACCCTCCCCCCTTCCTGCTCTCTCTCTCTCGTTCTCTGTCTCTCAAATAAAATCCTTTTGTGTTTCTGTCAGGTAAATAAATAAAATCTTTAAAAATAAATAAATAAAATAAAATGTCAATAGATCGGGGCGCCTGGGTGGCACAGTTGGTTGAGCGTCTGACTCTTGGTTTCCACTCAGGTCTTGATCTCAAGCTTGTGAGAGCAAGCACCATGGTGGGTGGGCTCTGCGCTCAGCGTGGAGTCGGCTTGAGGTTCTCTCTCCCTCTGCCCCTCCCCCTGCTCATGCTCTCCTCTCTCTCTCAAATAAATAGAGCATGAGCAGGGGGAGGAGCAGAGAGAGAGGGAGAGGGACAAGCAGATTCTCAGGACCCTGAGATCATGACCTGAGCTAAAGTCAGACTCTTAACCGACTGAGCCACCCAGGTGCCCCAATAAGTAAATCTTTAAAAAATTAATAAATAAAATGTAAGTGGATCACTTCTCTGTCTTGCTTAAAACTCTCCCATAGGGGTGCCTGGGTGGCTCAGTCGTTAAGCGTCTGCCTTCGGCTCAGGTCATGATCCCAGTGTCCTGGGATCGAGCCCCACATCGGGCTCCCTGCTCCGCGGGAAGCCTGCTTCTCCCTCTCCCACTCCCCCTGCTTGTGTTCCCTCTCTCGCTGTGTCTCTCTCTGTCAAATAAATAAATAAAATCTTTTAAAAAAAGAAAAGAAAAGAAAAGAAAACTCTCCCATAGCTTCCCATTACTTTGGGATTAAATCCCAACTCCAAATGTTGGCACTGCAAGACCCAACAATTGAGTATCTAACCCCAGTTCTTTCCCATGATCTCTCTACTTGGTTACTTTTCATAACCACTTGTTCCGGGGCCGGATTTCAGGTCTTCTCTTACACCTCTGAGGCCATTAGGCATATTTCTCTCCAAGTCTCTTTTTTCTCTGTTAACTCAGATTCCTCCAGTATTGATTATTTTGTTTGTTGAGTTTGGTTCCTTCCTTTCATAGTGTTGTCCTTCTCACATTGGTGAGATTTGGTTGTGTTCATCTTTCCATTGTCTGTGACTGCTGTGTCTGTCTATTAAAGGCTGCCTCCAAGTGAGTGTGGATTGTGGACCAGTGGCAGGGGAGGCAGATGCCAGGAGCCTGACTCCTGAGTGTGGGGCTTCCCTCCTAAGTGTCACCGGTCCCCTGATCTCTGGCCCGCGTTCCCCACCCAGAGATAACATCTCCAGTGCCCGCTGCGTGGCACGGGCGGCTCTGGATTGCCTCACTGTCCCCATTTGCTCATGCAGCTCTTCTAACACTTTGTAATTAGGTCACTATTAAATCCCTCCTGTGGATTTACTACTTGGTGTGGCTTCTCTTTCCTCAGTTGGACCTTGAGTAAAATTTCTGAAGCTAATTTTCCCCTTCAAAATGTTAGTTTTTGGGGCACCTGGGTGACTCAGCCGGTTAGGCGTCTGCCTTCGGCTCAGGTCATGATCTCAGGGTCCTGGGATCGAGCCCCGCGTCGGGCTCCCTGCTCCGTGGGGAGCCTGCTTCTCCCTCTCCCTCTGCCTGCTGCTCCCCCTGCTTGTGCTCTCTCTCTCTCTCTCTGTCAAATAAATAAATAAATAATCCTATTTAAAAAAGTGTTAAGTTTTCATGGAGGTTTGTTCTCTTTTTATTCTTTGTTCAGCTGAGCGGTTTACTGATTTTTGTTGTTCCTTGGTTTTATTTATCTAACGATCGTACTGTTTTTTGTTTTGTTTTGTTTTACTCTCTTTTCCATTAATTTATTTTACTATCTTGAACATTTGGTTATCTTCTTTTGGTGTATTTTAATAATTCTCTTCCTAACACTTGAGTTGAATACTGAGCTCAGCTGCCTTTTCAATCTTGAGCCTGTGCGTTTTCTTCTAGTACTATTTAGCTATAGCTCATAAGTTTTGAGATGTAGACTTTTGATTCACTTCTAAATAGTCTAATGTCAATTAAGTTTCCTCTTCAACACAAGAGTTAGAAGTTTTTTGTTTGGTTGGTTGGTTGGGTTTTTTTTTTTTGGATTCTTGTGTTTTTAATTTCAAATCAGAGAGTTTGGCTTTTTTGACCTCTACTTTTGGGAATATTTTTAAGATTTTTTTTTCTTTTTTGTTGTTGGAACTGGTCTTTGAGCCAAAGGCTCTGGCTCCATAGCCCAATGGCCCAACACAGGGACCGAGTTATGCCACGTCTGAGGTCCCTTCTTGGCCACAAATAAGCTCTGGCCAATTGTCTTCACCTCTTTGGGCCTCAGGATAACTGAGACAGGGAATTGTGCTAGAGAACCTCTCAGATTCCTTCTAGCTCTTAAAAAAAAAAAAAAAAGACAACGTAAAATAACTGAGTTTCCAATCTAGATGGGAAAGATAAAAGAAATGACCAAAGTACTGCGGGGCTCAGAGGAGGGATGGGAATCGGGAAAGGCTTCATGGAAGAGTTGGCATTTAAGATAATACCCTCAAAGGATTTTTATTGAGGATAAGATCCTCAGAGGATCACTCATTCATTTAACAAATATTTATGTAGCATCTATCCACTGTTCTCCAGTTGCTGAAGATAATCAGAGTAAATGGTAAACTAGTGATCTGACAGTCTGCCTGTCGCAGCCATGCTGAGAGGCACCATTACTGACCACGACCCTTGCTGACACAACTCTTTTGCCCAGGCACTCCCTCCCGTCAGCGTGGTCCCCGGAGATCCCGGGTTCTGAAGGAGATCCGAACCCTTCAGAAGAGCACAGCCCTGTTGATAAGGAAGAGCCCCTTCAGCCGCCTGGTGAGCTCCACCAACCCCCATGCTGCCTCCTTTCTTTAAATCTCCCAGGTAGTGGGGACCCATTCATCTCTTGCCTGAATGGCTAAGGGAACCTCTTCTCTAACCTGGAAGAGGACTCTTCATCTTTGGAAACCATGAGCCCACTGAAGGCACCTCTGGTTCTTTATGGAATTAATTTCTAACCCCCACCACCTCTGAAACTGTGCCCTTTGATTATATAAATAGGAACTCTCTCATCCATCCATGCTTTGAACTCCCTTCCTACCCTGAGAGATACCCTTCCTCCTCTCCCCACCACTAATAGGACTGATGCCAATTCCACAGCTCCCAGGAGTTGACACCAGCTACTAGTTAGGTCCTAAGATTAAGGGCCACAAAGGTATCACGGAAATGAAGATTCATAGAAACTCATGGAGAGAATCTTCCCCTTGAATCTCTCTTCTTTTACTATCTACTCCTTGCTCCCCATGCCCCTCCTTCACAGGCAAGAGAGATATGCGTTACATTCACTCGCGGTGTGGACTTCTCTTGGCAAGCCCAGGCCCTGTTGGCCCTACAAGAGGTAAGAAGGGGGCCCAGGTACGGTTGGGTGGGGACAGGGGAAAGGCATTCTGGAATTCCACAGGGCTGACTGAGGCATGCCACACACTGACTCTTGCCTCTTTAAAGACAGCATCAAGGAACACCCGGTGTTTGGAGGCCGGATCCTTGTGTGGTGGTAGCAGAATTCCCAGGCACAGTCCACCCTCATTCTGTGGGCAGCGTTTCAGACAGTGCTGGGAGCCCTCAGAGACCAAGGGCAGCGGGGCTCCGAGAACAAAGCAGCCCATGCCCCGTCGTATGTCAGTCTTTGGACTTGTCTCTCTGCCCCCAGGCCGCAGAAGCATTTCTAGTTCATCTCTTTGAGGACGCCTATCTTCTGTCCTTACATGCCGGCCGCGTTACTCTCTTCCCGAAGGATGTGCAGCTTGCCAGGAGGATCCGAGGCATTCAGGAAGGGCTTGGCTGAGCCCCTGCCCCCATCTCTGTAAGCCTTTCCTGCCCGCCGCAGAGAGAGCGCCCTTTGGGAAAGAAGCCCCCAGCCTCTCATCCCTGCGATGGGAGTTCCTCTGAAGGAATTTCCATCCGTGGTCCCTTGCTGTCTCACCTTCCCTTTGTTCTCTAGGAAAGGTCTGACTTGGTTTTAGCTTGAATGCTTGGGGTTCTATGGCTCCTGCCCTTTTGTACAATGTTAAATAAAAATATTTATCTATCTACTAATGTCCAGACGACATGAGTCTGTTAGAGTTCAGCCTCTGTTTTACAAGGACCAGATGACTCATTGTGATTAAGAGAAGTTTTGCTTTTGAAAATGCCTTGGTAGTAAATGTGATACCTGACTTTCAGGGATGACACCAGAGCCTCTGTCTGGAGCCAGGAACAGATCCGTGGAGGGTAAGGAGGCGTCTGGACTCACTGTCCCTGAGCAGGGTGCATGCAGCTTTTGTAATTGGTTCTTTCAAGGAGAAAACTGTGTGACTTTCCTCTGTAACAGAGGTAATATATGAGAAAATCAACAGCATTCCAAAGGACTGAGAATTCTTTTTAGATAATGAGACTCCAAGATTCGCTTCAGTTTGCAAATGATTCACATGACCGCTGAATGATTTTGAAGACATCAGACTTTCTGGGCTATGGAAAAAATGGATATTTGCTTATTATTTTAGATCTTCCTGTACCACTTACATTTTTTGCCATACGTATATTTACTTTTCTTTGAAACATAAGGGAAAAAAATAAAAGGCGACCACTTCGTTCAGTTGCACAGAAGAGCCTGGAACATCTGCCCACAAATCTGTCCTTCGGTTAAGCTCACCTGAGCGGCAGCAGCAAGTGAGGCAGGGACCGTGCCTGCCAACAACTGTGTAGCTTTTTAAAAAACTCAACTGGGGTTAAAATAGAAAATCTTTAAGTCCTGATGTTCTCGTTCCTTTGAGTAAATTCCTGTCAAACTCATTCAGAAATTTGTAAATCATAGACGACATCATGATTTATACTTTAGAATTTTTCATCCCGGGATTTTAAAGTGCCTTTTCAAAGTTTTTACAGGTGTTTTTAGAACTTCTTTGTGGAGAGATAATAAAAAATAAGATTATTTCTTTGATGAAAAAACTGTAAAGCAAAGTTAGTTACTGCACGTAGACATGCTACATTTTTGGTGCGTTCATGTTCAGTTCTCCATTTGTACGCCATGTTGCAAGCAGCCACCATTTAAACAAGAGAATGGAGGGATGTGTTTTGGGCTCCAGTGGAGGAGAGTGTGAGCGGATAAAAACCTTGCCCTTCTGTTGCAACCGAAAGCAGTTGAAGAGATTTCCAGAGAAATGGAAAGGGCCACTGGAAGACTTTTAGACTTTGCATGTGATGGAAATGATTAGTGAGGGTGAACCTCTGACAATGATGTGTCAGGTGACCAAGTTCCAAGACGAATGAAGGGAAGGACCAAGTTCTCTTGTTGAATAAATTTTAACCCTTTGGAAAAACCTCTTCTTGTTCAACATCAAGTCCTATTTATACAGACATTCGAATAAAGTGTATCTACTGATGAATATATTTAAGGTTCTTGTCAGTATTATTAATTAGAAGATTATAGTCTGCCTTGGGGCGCCTTGGTGTTTCAGTTGGTTAAGTGTCTGCCTTCAGCTCAGTTCATGATCTCAGGTTCCTGGGATCGAGCCCCACATCGGGCTCCCTGCTCAGCAGGGAGCCTCCTCCTCCCTTTCCCCACCCCCACCCCCCTGCTTGTGCTTTCTCTCTCTCTCTCAAATAAATAAAATCTTAAAAAAAAAATTATAGTCTGCCTTTAGTTTTCTTTAAATTGACACCTCTGCTCTCTTAAAATTGTACTAACCACTGGCTCCTGGCTGGCTCAGTCACTACAGTATGCAGCTCTTGACCTCGGGGTTGTGACTTCAAGGCCCAAGTCAGGCAGGGAGACTACTTTTTAAAAAAAATTTTTTTTTAGTAAATTAAATTGTACTACCCAGGACACATGCAACACATACCACATGCCAGGCAGGATCCACCAGGTGGAATTTACAGGGTAGCATGAGAATAAGTAACTCACTTGTTTTTCTGGATGATTCCATCCACATTATCTTTCCATTTGATCTTTTATTTCTGCTTTCACCTTTTTAATATCTAAGAACTCTTAGCTTTGGAATGTTTCTTTATTACAGTATCCCAGTCCGTCAGTGTTTACTCAGAAAAACCGGAAACCAGCCTAGGTATTTCAAACAAAGAATTTAATGGAAGGGATTGTTTAATTAATATCAGGAGGACTGGAAGAGCAAACGGGAGAGGATGCTACCCAGAGATCAGGAAGCCTCCGGCGCCTGCAGCCCACACCACGGCCGCTCTGCTGGAAGCGTGCCACCCCCACCCCACCCCACCCCCGCCAGGACCCTGTTAGAGCCGCACTTGCTACTGAGCGGGAACTCAGGCAGCCCTGCTCCAACCAGTCCTGCTGACGCCACCACTGACCCCAAGGATGCCCTGGCCCTCCTCTGCAGCTTCTGCTGCCACAGGCCCTGCCAGACCGCAAAAGGAAAATGTCTCTTTTTTCTTCCCACTTTCCAGGCCCCACCAGTATTTTCCACTGGCAGAACTTAACCAGAAGCAGCTGCAGGAGAGTCTGGGAAAACGATTGGCCGCCTTCTAACCCCCTTGTGTTACAGAGAACTTGTAGGGTGAGAAAGGAGCTTGGAGCTTACAGAAACATCATCTGCACACGTCCCCAGTCTCATGGGTGTAATGCCATTTTAAGGATATTTATTAGGATTTCTTTGTTACTGGTTTTTGTTTTTGCCACACGGTCTCTGTGTTTTCCAAGTTGATACTTTTCCTGTACAGACAGGTCTCTCACTCATGACAGGACTTGCCTGGGAGCCTAGCTGGGGAGTGCCTCCTGGGCCCTTTGCTGGGGAGCCCCGTTCTCTCTGCTAGCCGGCTGCCCTCGGAGAGTCATCAGCCTGCAGGGAGGAGAGAGGCCTAGCTGGGTCTAGTTGCTGGCTGGAAGAGAGCTGAGGCAATCCATATTTAAAATCCACTGCATCCTTACTCTCCTTGGCTTCCCCCCATCCCACACCAGAGCCCCGAACCCCAAGCATCCAGACTTGTGCTGGGATGGGGAAGAGAGTCACCCGGTGAGTGAGGGCTGGGAGAGGAGCACCGGGGGAGCTGCCTCCTCAACAGTGCAACCGGTCCTCCCTCCATTAGCCCGGCTTGTGCACACCTAGTTGCAGAGGGACTCAGCGCTCCCAGTACCTGAGCCTTGTAAAGATTTTGCCGTGTGGGTTGTGGTGGTCCTCCCTTTCCGCCTGCTAGCTGAGGATCCCACTCTTGTGGGTCTGTGGGGGCTGTTCCTATCACCCATCTGCCTGCCAGCTTTTAGGACTTCGGTACTGTTGGCTCCTCTCCCCATCTCCCCATCCCTGTGGATTCATGCTGAGCCTCTGACTGTAGAGAATTGCAGATTGGCAGCTGTTAGCTTTCTTCACAAGAGAAAGGTGATTCCACTATTTTCTGGGTTCTATGTTTGCTGCTGAGAAGTCAGCCGTCAGTCCAACAGTTGCCCCTTTGAAGCTAGTGTCATTTTTCTGGTGATCTCTCCTTAAAAGATTTTTCTTCATTTTTGGTATTCTGCAATGTCATTATGACCTGTCATGTGTGTGGATTTATTTTTATTTATCTTAACAGCATTCATTGGGCTTCCTGGATAGGGGGTGATGTCTTTTCATCAATTTTGGAAAATTCTCAATCATTATCTCTTCAAATAATGCCTCTCCCCATCTCTCTCCTCTTTCTGGGTTGCCGGTTTTCTTACTACTGAATCCTTGATGATGTTTCTTTCCTTCTTCTGTGTTCCATCCTTTTGTCTCTCCCTTGCTGCCCACCTAACTGTTTCTTCTGCCCTGCCTTGGAATTCATTGATTTTCTTTCAGCAACATCTAATCCACTTTTAAACCTGACTGAGGGGCACCTGGCTGGTTCAGTCAGTTAAGCATCCGACTCTGGATTTCCAATCTGATCATGATCTCAGGATCATGAAAACGAGCTCCTAGTCAGGCTTGGCGCTCAGCACAGAGTCTGCTTGAGATTCTCTCTCTCCCTCTCCCTCTGCCCCTCCCCCACATGTGTGCACAGGCTCTCCCTCTCAAATAAATAAATCTTTAAAAGAAAAACCTGAATGATATCTTAATTTCAGTTATTGTATTTTTTTGTTCTAGAATTTCTGTTTGGTTGTTTTCAAAATTGTCATGTCACTTTTTTTCTTTTTAAGTATTCTCTACACCCAATGTGGGGCTTGAACCCACAACCCCAAGATCAAGAGTCCCACGCTCTACTGACTGAGCCAGCCAGGCACCCCTGTCATGTCACTTTTTATAGTTCCCAGTTTCCTGCTGAAAATGTTGAGCTTGGTTTTTATATCATTTAGCATAGTAAGCACAGTGCTTTGCAGGCTGTGTCTGATAAGTCTTATATTTAGAGTCCCTATGGATCTGTTTCTATTCATGTTTTCTGTTGATTCTCACTCCTCGATTTCTTTTCTCTTTGGTGCTTGATTACATTTGATATTATGCCTGACACATCTATATGCAGAAATAATTTGAAACCTAGAATGATATCTTTCTCTAGAGAGCATTGTTTGTTTGTTTTTTTCCTATTAGGTCCTGGAGGCACTAAACATTTAGAAACACCTTAATGCAATTTCAGAGCTTGAGATTTTCTGAGGCATCCAGATGATTCTAAGCCAAGGCCCGTCTCAGGTCTGAATTTATTCTCATTCGCCTTATTCCTAAAGTACAGCTAATCTACTTATCCTGCTTACCTTGGAGGGCTTGTACTTCAACCTTTTTCTCCCTAACCCCACAAGGCTGCCAAAAACATGGCCCATTTCTTGGCTACTCTTTTAGGACTGGCAAACATTCCCACGAGGAAGTGTTAGGTTGGATCTGCTGTTACATTCGTCTCTGGATTTCCATCCTCTCTCTGATCTTGGATTGGTAATTACTAATAATTAATCATGATCTTGTTAGCATTTTAATACTTTTAAGAAAAAAACATATATTTGTCCAGCTTTTTCAGTTGTCTTCAGTAGGAGAGTGGTCCAAATAACCACTGGCATAAAGACAGGCAGACCAATGGAACAGGATAAAATAGGGAGCCCAGAAATAAACCCTTGCATTTATGGCCAGATGATTTTTGACAGTGGGGGAAGACAGTCTCTTCAAGAAGTGTTGGTGGGAAAACTGGATGTCCCCATGCAAAGGAATGAAGTTGAACCCTTACCTCACACCATATAGAAAAATCAACTCAAAATGGACCAAAGATCTAAATGTAAGAGCAACAATTATAAAATTCTTAGAAGAAAACATCGGATAAAACCTTCACAACATTCGATTTGGCAGTGATTTCTTGAATATGACATCAGAGGCACAGGCAACAAAAGAAAAATATAGACAAATTGGACTTCATGGAAATTCAGAACTTTTGTGCATCAAAGGGCACGATCAACAGAGTAAGAAGGCAGCCCCCAGAAAGAGAAAATATTTGCAGATCATATTTGATAATGGATTTGTATCAACATATAGGGAACTAAAACTCAAAAACAGAACAAAAAAAAGGGGTGCCTGGGTGGCTCAGATGGTTAAGCGTCTGCCTTCGGCTCAGGTCATGATCCCAGGGTTCTGGGATCGAGTCCCGCATCGGGCTCCCTGCTGGGCGGGGAGCCTGCTTCTCCCTCTGCCTCTGCCTCTCTCTCTCTCTCTGACTTTCATGAATAAATAAATAAAACATTTATAAAAAAAAATAAATAACTTAATTCAAAAATGGGCAAAAGACTTGGGTAAACATTTCTCCAAAGGGGATATTACAAATGGCCAATAAGCCCATGAAAAGATGTTCTACATCACTAATCGTTAGGGAAATGCCAACAAAACCCACAATGAGATACCACCTCATGTCTGTTAGAAGGCCTACTAGTAAAACAAAACAGAACAAAAACAGAAAATAGCGTTGGTTGGATGTGGAGAAATTGAAACACTTGTGCACTGCTGGTAGGAAGGCAAAATGGTGCAGCTGCCATGGAAAACAGTATAGTGGCTCCTAAAAAAATTAAAAATAGATCTACCATATGATCCAGCAGTACCCAAAAGATTTGAAAGCAAGATCTCAAAGAGATTTGTACACCCATGCTCATTGTGACGGTATTCACAGTAGCTAAAACGTGAAGCAACTTGTGTCCATCAACAGATGAATGGATAAGTAAAATGTGGCATATACATACAGTGTAATATGCCTTAAAAGGGAAGGAAACTCCAACATGGATAGAACTTGAGGATACCATGTTAAACAAAATAAGCCAGTCACAATGAGACATACTATATGATTCCACTTATATGAGGTACCTAGAACACTCAGAATCACAGGGACAATGGTGTTTGGCAGGGGCTAGGGCTGGCAGGGAGAAGGATAAGGGAATTAATATTTAATGGGTACAGAGTTTACATTTTGGAAGATGAAAAGAGTTCTGGAGATGGATGGCAGGGGTT